TTAAATTCAGTACCTTACACTTATATACTATGAGCTACAACTTTACAGAGCTCTGCTTTTTTAGTAGCTGAGATCACAGGCATGAGCTACTGTACCTCACCTCTAATAAGAATTTTAAATATATCCAATGCTATGGGAAAATGGCCTATAACAGAAACAGGAAGACGAGTTTGTGAGCCAATGTATTGTTCCAGGCAGGGGCAGATAGGGAGCATGTTCTAAACTAGTGATGTGAAGACAGAAAAGTAGCCAGATTGGGGGCAGATTTAGAAAAGAGAAATAGGTGCTGGTGGCTCACGCCTGTAATCCTAGCTACTCAGGAGGCTGAGACCTGAGGACTGCGGTTCAAAGCCAGCCCAGGCAGGAAACTCTGTGAGACTCTTATCTCTAATTAACCACCAGAAAACTGGAAGTGGTGCTGTGGCTCCAGTGGTGGAGTGCTTGCTGAAAGGCTTGAGCTGAAGAGCTCGGAGACTGTGTCCAGGCCCAGATTTCAAGCCCCATGACTGACCAAAAAAAAAAGGAAAGAGATGGGCTAGGAATGTGGCTTAGTGGTTGAATACTTGCCTAGCATGCATGAAGCCCTGGGTTTGATTCCTCGGAACTACATAAACAGAAAAAAGCTGGAAGTACTGTGGCTCAAGTGGTAGAGTGTTAGCTCAGGGATAGTGTCTAGGCCCTCAGTTCAAGCCCCAGGACTGGAAAAAAAAAAAAAAAGATTTAGGAAAGAGAGAAAAAAGGGGGAGGTAGTAAGTCAAGAAGACTTGCTAAGGAAGGAAAAAAGGAAGAAAATGAGTCAAAGATCATTCATTAGCCTGAGCCACTGTGTGACTAGTGCTAACTTTAACTGAAATGAGGTTCCTTGTACAATAGTGGGGACCAGAGTTCAAGACCAGGCCTTGCTACTTAAGAGTGTTACTTAACTTCCTCAACATTCAGAGGTGTTAGTTTGTTTGTTTGTTTGTTTTTTTCTCCTGTACCTGCCTGACTATCGTGCCTCTCTTTATAAGGCAACTCAGAGAAAAGTACAAACTCTGGGTTTAATGTCTTTTTAACCACCCCAAGTGACATCCTGTCTCATTATCTTGTCTCTTTGGCTCTCTCCAGGAAATGAAAGCCCTTCAACTTACAAGTGCAAAAGCACAGAGCAGCTCCCTCTTTCTCTAGCTATTGTCCTGTATATAGTAATGTTATGATATATGATATAAAACCCAAGGGATGAATGTCACCTCTGATATTAAGGAGGCTGTGCTGCTGCTCATATTAATTTGCTGTAGTAAAAGAACAAGTCTTTGCTCACAGTGGCCACCAGCATGATGGCCCTGGGTGCAAAAGCCACACTTCTCCTTCCTGCCTTTCAGCTGTTGTGGACCATTGAGAACTACTAGCTTGTGTTTAGATTTTCAAGTACTCAGGTGACATCTTCCATGAATTGCTGCACAACTACATGAAACCAAAAATTGGCCAAGAACTGAATGAATTTCCAGTTTTAAAAGAATCCATTCTTTTGGCATGATAACTGTTGATCTCAAGTCTACACAGGAAGATAAAATTCCTTAGAGAGCAAGTTAATCCCACTGATTAAATCACATGGGATTCTAGCACCTCCAAAACAGTAAGGGCTGTAGGATGGCCAAAGCTGTCTTACTGTGAGGAGAGTCTGGCTTTGGTCAGGCACATTTCTGAATCTGGTGCATTCCTGCCTGCACAAATCCCTCCTTCAGGCCCTTGCAGGACATACCACATTAACAAAGAAGAAATTCTGAAAATTAAGACTAATTGTCTTCCTTTCCCTGGAGGCAAAATGCTTAACTGTGTTTGCCTTAAACAGCTGAAGGCTTTGGCTGACAGTCCAACTCACAGGCTCAGGGCTGCACACCTGCTTTTACTATCCACCCCCATCCCCCCACCCCAACTCCTGCCACCACATGTTGGAACATATACTACAGTTCTCTGCCTACAACAGCATGTACACCTGTCTGTTTCAATTTCCCACCTTCATGCCTCTGCATACAGAGGGAGCTTGAGAGATATTTGTGAATGAATGCTGCTAAGATGAGAAGTACTCAAGATATCCTTTTCAGAAACAAGGGCCCTGTTCTCTCTGGTCTGTAAATAGAATAAAAGTCTTGTGCACTAGTGCTTGCCCGGGAGTATCATAAGCATGCTCTGGAATATGGACTGAGGATACCTCTTGGATCTTTCTTGCTTTTTTTTTTTTTTCCTTATGTGGTACTGAGGAATTGAACCCAGGGCTTCATGCATGCTAGGCAAGCACTCTACCACTGAGCCACCTTCCCAGCCCTGGATCTTTCTTTTTAAATATTTTCCTTTCTTTGATTTTATTTCAAGAGCAGATATTACTTCTGGCTTTTGCATTTTGTTTGTTTTTGGAGAATAATGATTTCTAACTCAATGCCTATAGTAAGGATATATATCTGAAGAATAATGATTTCTAATTCAATGCCTACAGTATTCTGTAAAATCCTGAAGTTGCAGTTTAGCACATATAACAAAATTTACCAGTTAAAAGTGATTTACAATTCAGTGGTTTTAGTATATGTACAAGTTCTTGAACCATGGCTACTATCTAATTCCAGAACATTCTCACTCCCTCAAGAAATCCCATACCACTAAATGTTGGTTCACAATCCTCCCCTTTCCAAATCTTTCTGTTTCCACAGACTTGCTCATACACTTCAGTAAAAGACTTCTTGTGCTGGCTTCTTTTCTTTAGATTAGCAGTACAAAGTTCACTTGTGTTGCAGTACGTGTTAGTTTTTAAGGCTAGATAATATTCCATTGTATGGACAGATCATTTTTGGCCATGAACTGACTTTTGGGTTGTTTCCAGCTTTTGGCTGTGAATAGCGCTGCCAGGAACATTCATATACAAGTGCTTATTTTTTTAAAAACACATCTTTTCAGTTTTCTTAGGTGTACAATTAGGAGTAGACACTGATAGTTTAAAAAATATTCAAGCCAGGTATGATGGTACAAGTATACAATCCCAGTATTCAGGAGGCTAGGGCAAGAGGATCCTAAGTTCAATCCTAGACTGTGCCACATAGGGAGATCCAGGACATTTTGGGCTACAACCTATCCCCAAAACACTAAAATAAAAGCCAAATAACCCCTAGTAGCAAGAATCAGTGCTGGGAGAAACAGCTATTGCATTCGTAAGAACCTATAAGAATTTAGAAAGTAGTGCAGCACAGAGGCAGTATGAAATTTGGTAATGCCTTACAATCTACTTGTATTGTCAGAAAACAATCTCAAATGTGAACAAACACTTGCTCACAAAAATGTTGATATGGTTTTACTTATAAAAGCAAAATCAATATATTAAGGCCCACAGTTCTTCATAAAAAGTAAGCAGTCTGTGTGTCAAAGGACACTACCCAGAGGGTGAAAAGAAAACCCAGAGAGCTAGGCACTGGTGTTTATGCCTGTAATCTGAGCTACTCAGAAAATTGTGATCCCAGGGGCTGGGAAGGTGGCTTAGTGGTAGAGTGCTTGCCTTGCATGCATGAGGCCCTGGGTTTGATTCCTCAGCACCACATAAGTAGAAAAAGCTGGAAGTGGTGCTGTGGCTCAAGTGGTAGAGTGCTAGTCTTGAGCTGAAGAGCTGAGGAACAGTGACCAGGCCCAGAGTTCAGGTACCATGACTAGCAAACAAAACAAAACAAAACAAAGAAAACTGTGATCCGAGGATCACAACTCCAAGCTGGCCCAGGCAGCAAAGTCTGCAAGATCCTATTTCCAAAATAACCAGCAAAAAGCCAGACTGGAGGCATGTCTCAAGTGGTAGAGAAATAGCCCGTGAGTATAAAAAGCCAAAGGAGAAGGCCTTGAGTTTAAGCCCTGGTATTAGTCCAAAAAAAGGAAAAAAGGAAGCCCAGAGAGTCAGAAACAATATTTGCAAATTAGATGTGTGGTATATAATATTTAAAGAACTCCTATATTTCATAAATAAAAAGACAACTCAAATAGATGAACAGGTCCTAAGCTATAGCAAGACAGGATAGGTTCTAACACACCACTGCACTGGAGGAAAGATGAACCATAATGTACCATGTATTTGAAAAGCTAGGAGAAAGAAGTGAACTTTTTAAAATTTTATTTTATATTTTGGTGCCAGTCCTAGAGCTTGAATCCAGGGACTGCACCCTGTCCCTGGGTCTTTTTATTCAAAACTGACACTCTGTCATTTGAGCCACAGCTCCACTTCCAGCTTTTTGGTAGTGAACTGGAGGTAAGAGTCTCACAGACTTTCCTGCCTGGGCTGGCTTTGAACTGTGATTCTCAGACTTCAGCCTCCTAAGTAGCTAGGATTACAGGTGTGAGCCACGAGCACTCTGGAGGATTGAATATTTTCACAATGGAGAAGTGACAAGAGTTGACAGACACGTTAACCCTGATTAAAGCACTTAACAGTATATATAAGTATGGAGACTTTTTATGGTGCCCCTTAGAGACCCAATTTTTCTGTTTTTATGTTATCAGGTAAAAATTAAATTTTAAACCTGTATTCCTAGCTATTTTGGAGATGGGGACAGGAAGATTGTGGCTCAAGGGCAACCTGGGAAAAAAAGTCAGTGAGAGCTGGGAAGGTGGCTCAGTGGTAGGGCGCTTGCCTTGCATGCCTGAGGCCCTGGGTTCGATTCCTCAGCACCACATAAGCAAAAAGAAAAAAAAAACTGGAAGTGGCGCTGTGGCTCAAGTGGTAGAGCGCTAGCCTTGAGCTGAAGAGCTGAGGGACAATGCCTAGGTGCTGGTGGCTCACAGCTGTAATCCTATCTACTCAGGAGGCTGAGATCTAAGGATTGTGGTTTAAGGAAAGTCTGTAAGACTCTTATCTCCAATTAACCATCAGAAAACCAGAAGTGGAGTTGTGGCTCAAAGTGGTAGACCGCTAGCCTTGAGTGAAAAAGCTCAGGGACAGTACCCAGGGCTGGAGTTTAAGGTCCACACTAAAAAAAAAAAAAAAAAAAGCCAGAGTTCATTTCAGCAGCACATGTACTAAAATTGGAACAATACAGGGAAAATTAGCATGGCTTCTGTACAAGGATGACATGCAAATTCATGAGACATTTCATAATGAAACAAAGCAGGGCACTGGTGACTCACACCTGCAATTCTAGCTACTCATAGTTCAAAACCAGCCTACCAAAAAACCGGAAGTGGAGCTGTGGCTCAAAGAGGTAGAACACTAGCTTTGAGCTCATAGCTCAGGGACAGTACCCAGGCCCTGCTTTCAAGCCCCACAACTGCAAAGAAAAAAAAAAAAGACAATAGCTAGATGTTCAAGCAGGAAAGTTCATAAGATTCTTATTTCCAATTAATCACCAAAAGTCAAGCTGTGGCTCAAGTGGTAGAACACTAGCCTTAAGGAAAAGAGCTCAAGGACAGCACCTAAGCCCTGAGTTCAAGCCCCAGGACCGACAAAAAAAAAAAGGCCAGCCTTGGTGGAGCATACCTATGGTACCAGCTATATAAGAGGCCTAAATAGAGGGACTGGAGTTCAAGGTTAGTGCAGGCAAAGTTAATATAAGACCCTACCTGAAAGACAGACTAAAAAGAAAAAGAATAAGGGCATGGTTCACGTGATATTGTACTTACCTTAGTTCAGTCCCTAGCACTGCAATGAATCTCTCAATCCATTAGTAAATAAATGATCGAATGAATAAAAACAATTTTAAAAAAATGGGCTAGGAGCTTGATGAAGACTATCAACCAAGCATGCACAAATGACCCACTCATATGAAGAGATGTTCAGTGTCACAGATCATTAGGAAAAAGCAAATTAAAATCCCAGTGAGTTACTACTTTACATGAAGAGCATAGCTGTAACTTAAGAAAAGGAAAACAACAAGTGTTGTTAAGAATGTGGAGAAACTGGAACTCAACTGCTTTGCAGGTAGGAATGTACAAAAGTGTTGCAGTTCCTCAAAAAGTGAATCCTAGAGTTGTCATATTACACGCTGAGGTATATCCTCACAAAACATGTTTACCTAAAAACATAGGCACTAACATTTGCAGTAGTTAAGAAGTAGAAACAACTAGACACGGTAGCATATACCTGTAATCTTAACACCGAGGAAGTAGAGGCTGGAGGATTGTGAATTTGAAGTCAACCTGGGCTATACCGGGAGCTCCTGTCTCAAAACAAAAACAAAGCAAACCAAACCAGCAAAAAAGTGGGAATAATCCAACTGTTCACTAGCTGATAAAGAGATAAAATGTGGCATATCCATTTGATAGGATATTATTCAGCCATAAAAAGGAATGAGGTATTGACAAATAACAAACACAGACAGTCTTCAAAAAAAACACTGTACTCAGTGATGGAAGCCAGGTACAAAAGACACACATGGTATGATTCCACTTATGTGACATATCCAGAACAGGTAAAACTGGATTAAAAAATAGGGCAGTGGTTTCCCAGAGATAGAGGAAGCAAGTGTTATGGGGAACTTCTTTTTGGTTAATGGAAATGTCCTGGGATTATACTGTTGACTTGAGGGCATAACCTTATAAATATACTAAAATCCCTACATTGTACACTTGAAAGCATGAGATTTTTGTATGTGAAATTTTGTTATGGAAATTATATCTCAACTTAAAAATTAAAACAAGTTCAGGAAAAATGTATTTAAAATACAATGTCTAGGCTTGGAAAGCCTCAAGTAATAGACTGCCTGTTCAGTGGGCATGGGGCCTTGAGTTCAAACCCCAATAAAATGTATTAAAAAACAAAACAAAATCCTCATTTCTGATAGGAAAACAAATGCCCTTTTTTCCTGCTTCTCTATTTTTGCCTATAATTTTTCAAATTTTTCTTTCTTAACTATGGATTGCTTTCTCATTGGGAAAAAAATAGAAGTTAATTTCCCCTTCGAAAAATAAAATAAGAAATTCCTTTAGCATCAAAAAGCCATTTATAAAATATTTCATACTGGCCAGTTCATGCCTTTAATCCCAGCTACAAAGGAAGTGGGAATTAGGAGGATATCAGTTCCAGGCCAGCCTGAACAAAAAGTAAGCAAGACCCTCATCTTGATAAATAAGTTGGGCATGGTGATGCACATCTGTAATCCCAGCTATACAGGAGGCATAGATAGGAGAACGGAGATCTGAGACTGGCCTCAACAAAAGGTTTGCTCAAGTGGTAGAGAACTTACCTAACAAGTGTGAGACCTTGAGCTCAAACTTCAGTACTATCCCCACCTCCCCCTAAAAAAAAACTCCCACTTATAGGAAATTCAATGGGTAAGGGAGAGATATTCCTTTATTCAAAACAGAAGTCTTGGGAAAGTCCCACTTCTTTTTTATTTATTTATTTATTTAATTTATTTTTTGCTGGTCATGGGGCCTGAACTCTGGGCCTGGGAGCTGTCCCTGAGCCCTTCAGCTCAAAGACAGTACTCTACCACTTGAGCCACAGCACCACTTCTGGCTTTTTTTTCTGCTTATGTGGTGCTGAGGAATTGAACCAGGGCCTCATGCATGCAAGGCAAGCGCTCTACCACTGAGCCACCTTCCCAGCCCTTTTTTTTTTTTTTTTAAACCATTACCCTAATGTACTTGCTGAGTGGGTAAGATAACTGAGGTATGGGGTGAGATGCTCTGTGCAGGCTTTCATAAGTAAATGTTCTTGTGCTCAAATTGCATGGTTGGGAACTATAAACTGGGGATGGTAGTATTTGCCTGTAGTCCTAAGCACTCAGGAGATTGAAGCAGGAGGATTACAAGTTTGAGGCCAGCTTGGGCTATATAGGAAGATCTTGTCTCAAAAACAAAACAAAACAAAACAGAAAATTGCTCTTGCAGCTTCTCTATAATTTTTAAAACCAGGCTAGTAGCCAACATTGGTAGTTCACCTCTATAATCCTAGCTACTAAGGAGACTGAGATTTGAGGATCATGGTGCAAAGCCAGAATAGGCAGGAAAGTCTGTGAGACTCATCTCCAATCACCAGAAAACCAGAAGTGGAGCTGTGGCTCAAAGTAATAGAGCACTAGTCTTGCGTGAAAGAGCTCAAGGACATTGCCCAGATCCTGAGTTCAAGCCCCATAACTGACAAAAATAAATAAATAAAAACCAGGCTAGTAAACATGAATATTAAGATGATCTCTTTAAGTCCAATGACAATTCTGTTTGGACAGGAAACCTGTGCACTGGCCAAGAGGAAAGAAAATCCCATAGCATGCAATGGGAAAAAATTGTTCTATTAAAAAAAAGGGGGGATGAAATAAAAAAAAACCCTCTCAAGTTCAGTAAGGCAGTCTTAAAAACCTAACCCCATCGACTCTACTTTCAGCAGAAGTTGAATATAATTCATTCACCTTCAATCTAATCATCAAGTCACTCAAAATGCACATGGATATAGTTCAATCACATCCAGACATTTGCTTTTAATTTCAAAGCATTTGAATTTTCAGACTACCTTGAATCCTGCCTACAGGGTCAGGAGTTGAGGAAACAGGAAGAAGCACTGGCAGGTCCCTCTCTCTCTCCTTCCCTCCCTCAATGTTGGACATGGAGGATGTGCTGTAACTTGACAGCACTGGTACAGCAAAGACAATGCAAGCCTGTCCTTAAGTCTAAAGTGCAACTCTTAAGAAAGAGCCAAGACAATGCTTCACAGCCCTTGGATGGAAGAAGCTGGGTTGTGGCAAGTGCTTCTGGTGAGTTAGCCACTTTCAAGATTATTGTCTCTGTTCCACTGTCTAAGACATCAGGGCTTAAAAGGTCCTGTATGACACAGGGAAGCTGGCAAGGGAGAGTAGTGCTGAGGGTAGGTATTGGCCAGGGAAGAAGCAACAAGGCAGGATCTCTGGTCAACTTGGCTTCTTGGCTGACTTATTGCCAGATTCATTTGCTAGCTTTCTATAAAATGTGGCATATATTAAAGTATATCAAGTTATAATTTGGTTCATGTCATAGGCAATTCTGAAGCCCTAACAAAATGGTGGCCAAAAAATGTTTTTAAAGTCTATCCTGGATGTAATGAGCATAGGAGAAGGCAAGGGGCCAGGAAGAAGCAAGTCTTTAGCTGGGTGCTGGCAGCTAGACTGGGAATCCAGTGACCTCTTCCTCATGTTCTGCTGTACACATGGTCCATGGATATGACTGATGCTCCATGGCCTTCCACTGAGAGTTGTGGTGACCCCTAGCAGCCCAGACTGAGCCCAGTTCAGCTATAGTAAAACATCAGCAATAGTAAAGACCTGAACATCTCCCACAGCCAGACCAGACTGCCTAGTTGAAGAGGCCATAGTGGTTCTACTGTCTTTACAGAGACACATCCCTCAAGGAAAATCCTTGAAGGCCATGGGGTACCCACTGTCAGAAGCTGGTACTCAGACTGGAGGCAGATCATAACATCTGGACATAGAAGTCTGGGGAAGAGTCCGAACTTCCTTAGAAAAGTGAATGATTGGGAGAAGACAGCTGACAAATGAGTGAGGTGAAAAGAGAGAGCTGAGCTCAATAAGATTTCCCCATCAAGGATTTATAATCTGCAATTCTCTTACAAACTTGACAGGAGAAGAGACAGCATCTGAATAACTGGAAGGGAGATTTACAAATGTTCTGCTAGAGAATTTCAAACAGAAGACCAGACAGGAAAGGACTGAGGAGAAAGGTTCAAGGGTTCCTGGCTGACCAGGAACCACTACCATTCCAGAGCAGAGCAGCTGCTGGGATACCTGTACCTGGTATAAGGAGTTAAAATGAACAGGGGCCCTGCTGCCCTGAGAAACAAACACTTCCCACTCTGCCCCTTGAGAAAAAGGGAGTTTGACAATCAGTCAACTGCTACTGTGACAATGCCTTACCTGTTTTCCACAAAAGAACATTGTCTTTGCAAACTAAAGCAAAGTTCACATCAGTTTTTCATGGTCTCTGCCCTTGTCAACAGAGGCCTCTACTGCCCATACTACCTTAGTGTTTTCAACCTCTGGGGGATTTCTTGGGCAGGTGAGAACTCCAGTGTGTCTCAGAACAGACTCAAGTTTGTAACTACTTGATTCATCATATTCAACAGTACCACTTGTTTGCCTGTGATCTTGGAGCTCCAAAGGACAGAAATAAAGGCCAG